CGTCGTTGTCGTCGTCGTCGTCGCCTACGTCGTCCTCTGTCTTTCCTCGTGTTCGTCGTCGTCGTCCTCTTTGGCGTCGTGGTCGTTTCCGTCGTCGTTGTCGCCGTGGTCGTCCTTCCTCCTCTCCCTCGTCGTCGTGGTCGTCCGTCGTCGGCGTCTCGTCGTCGTCCCTCCTATTTCGTCGCCGTCGTCGTCGTCGTCGTTGTCGTCGTCGTCGTCGTCTTCCCTCCTCCCTCGTCGTTGCCGTCGTCGGCGTCGCCGTCCTTCCTCCTTCTTCGTCGTTCGCGTCGTCGCCGTCCTCCGTCCTCCCTCGTCGTTGTCGTCGTGGTCGCCGTCGTCGTCCTCCCTCCTTCCTCGTTGTCTTCGTTGGCGACGTCGTCGTCGTCTTCGTCGTCGCGTCGGCGTCGTTGTCGTATTCGTCGTCGTCGACGTCGGCGTCGTCGTCGTCGCCGCCGTCGTCGTCGTCGTCGTCGTCGGCGTCGTTGACGTTGTCGTCGTCGGTGTCGTCGTTATCGTCGTCGTCGGCGTCGTCATCGTCGTCGTCGTTGTCATCGTCGTCGTCGTCGGCGTCGGTGTCGTCGTCGTCGTCGGTGTCGTCGTCGTCGTCGTCGTTGTCGGCGTCGTCGAAGTCGTTGGAGACGTCGTCGGTGTCGTCGTAGTCGTTGTCGGCGGCGTCGTCATCGTCGTTGTCGCTGTCGTCGTCGGCGTCGCTGCTGTTGCCAAGTGCCATGTGGTACCCACCGTCACGGTCTTGAGAGATTTTGCAAACCAAGTTGCGGGTGGGGGGGTGGGATGTTTGCGCGAGCAGTGGAGTGGACAACTCACTGCGAACAGAAATGAATTGCACCACATAGATTGCACCACACATATACATATGACATAGATTGCACAACATTGATTCTCCTTTCGGAAAAAGAGAATCGACACTACCCCCCCCCCCAGCGTTATCGCCACCCCTTTCGGCTATGTAAATCACATATGATTATGACCACATTTCCATCCGAAATATAAAATCGCAATGTCCCAGGCCAACCGGTATCCCCCCCCTGAGGTTCCTTTATAAAAAACACTATGCGGCGACATGTTAGTTTTGTTCTAAGATAACACTTGTTCACTAATTCCTAGCAAAAAATGAGACGAAGTGCGCGCGCGCGCGTCGTCGCGCGCGCATGCCGAAATCCTTCAAAAACCGTCGGTGCCGGAAGGATTTCGCAATCGAGTTTCCAAAAAACCTACAAAAAAACACAGGGTCTCGTAACACTGATTTGCTAAAAAAAGCTTACGCGTGAGCTCTTGCGAAATCTTAAGAAAACCATTGGTTTTTCAAGATTTCACAACATGCTACCAAACGGGCGGTGCGCGCGCGCATGTCGAAATCTGTCGAACGCCCTTGCGCGTGTGCCGTCGCGAGAATCCCTTGCAAAAAATGGGACGAAGTGCAGACGCGCGCGTCGTCGCGCGCGTACGCCGAAATCCTTCAAAACCCATCGGTTTCGGAAGGGTTTCAAAATCGCGCGTCCAAGAAACCTACAAAAACACAAGGTTTCGCAACACGGTTTTTCAATAAAAGCGTGCGCGCGCGCTCTTGCGGCGTCGTCGTCGTCGTCGTCGCGGTCCTCCCTCCTCCCGCGTCGTCGTCGTCGTCGTCGCCTACGTCGTCCTGTGTCTTTCCTCGTGTTCGTCGTCGTCGTCCTCTTCGGCGTCGTGGTCGTTTCCGTCGTCGTTGTCGCCGTGGTCGTCCTTCCTCCTCCTCCCTCGTCGTCGTCGTCCGTCGTCGGCGTCTCGTCGTCGTCCCTCCTATTTCGTCGCCCTCGTCGTCGTCGTTGTCGTCATCGTCTCGTCGTCGTCTTCCCTCCTCCCTCGTCGTTGTCGTCGTCGGCGTCGCCGTCCTTCCTCCTTCTTCGTCGTTCGCGTCGTCGCCGTCCTCCGTCCTCCCTCCTCCCTCGTTGTCGCCGTTGTCGTCGTTGTCGCCGTCGTCATCCTCCCTCCTCCCTCGTCGTCGTCTTCGTTGGCGACGTCGTCTTCGTCGGCGTCGGCGTCGGCGTCGTCGTCTTCGTCGTCGTCGACGTCAGCGTCGTCGTCGTCGCCGCCGTCGTCGTCGTCGTCGTCGTCGTCGGCCGTCTTGCTTCTCCGGCCTTCTTGGGGCACTCTTGAGCCGCCCCCGAGGGCTCCAAGACGACCCCGGAGCGATATCTGTGCTCGGTCCCGCATGGGTTTTGCAAACCAAGTTGCGGGTGGTTGGGTGGGATGATTGCGCGAGCAGTGGAGTTGACAATTTCAAGTTCGGCAAGTGATTTTTTGCACCACATAGGTCGCACCAGATGGATTGCACCAACCATTTCGCACCACACTGGTCGTCCAGGGCTTGGGCCCCCCCCCCCAATGCTGATGCCATTGGGCCCCCCCCCCCCGCGCGATGGTCCCCCCCGCCCCCCCCTGTGGGCGTGGCGTGGTGCTGCGCTGCGGTGCCCCCCTCCCCCCCCTGTGGATGTGGTGTGGTGCTGTGGTGGTTCAGAGGTGGGCGTGGCGTGGTGCTGCGCTGCGGTGCCCCCCTCCCCCCCCCTGTGGATGTGGTGTGGTGCTGTGGTGGTTCAGAGGTCGTCGTCGTCGTCCTCGTCGTCTCGTCGTCGTCTCGTCGTCCTCGTCGTCCTCGTCGTCCTCGTCGTCCTCGTCGTCCTCGTCGTCCTCGTCGTCGTCGTCATCGTCGTCGTCGCCGTCGCCGCCGCCGCCGCCGCTGGCGTCGTCGCCGCCGCAGCCGTCGTCGTCGTCGTCGTGATCGTCGTCGTCGTCGTCGTCGTCGTCGTCGCCGTCGTCGTAGTCGTCGCCGTCGTCGTCGTCGTCGTCATCGTCGTCCTCGTCGTCGTCGTCGTCGTCGTCGTCGTCTCTGGGACCATACCATCTGGGGGGGGGGGGCCCGAGGATCCTGGGACCATACCATCTGGGGGGGGGGGGGCCCGTGGGCCCGGAGCCCGGGACCATATATAAACAAGTGGCACGTGTGTGCCCAGGCTCATACCAAAAAAAACCTGAAAAGGGCGTTCGAAGCAGGAAGATACCATTACTGCAGGATCGGAGATGGAGAAAGGGAAGCTGGGGCGGCGCCGCAAGGGCGTGCCTAAAAGAAGGGGAAGAGGCAGGAGGTGAACCCCGAAGAATCTAAGATCGAGGTCGCACTCGAGCGCAAGTGGGGTTGCCACACCTTGCGATGTGTGTACCAGGGCCCCCCAGGAAACTTCAGGAGGCCCGACTTGGATACCGGAAGAGGCTCCAGGAGGCCCCGGGATTGTGAGTGTTGTGTGTGTGTGTGATGTGTGCTCTCTGTTGTGCGTGTTTTCTGTGCGTTGTAGGTGTTGTGTGTGTGTGTTATGTTTGTCTAGCGTGTGATGTGTTGGGTGTGATTTGTGTCTCTGTGTGTGCATGTAGTTCTGAGGCCCCAGGCGGCCTGAGGAGGCCCCAGAAGACCCCAGGAGGCTCCAGGAGGTCCCAAGAGGCTCCAGGAGGCCGCAGGAGGCCCCAGGAGGTTCCAGGAGACCCCCAGGAGGCTCCGAGGCAGGGAAAGCCCCAGGAGGCCCCAGGAGGTTCCAGGAGGCTCCCAAGAGGCTCCGAGGCGGGGTCTGGGGTACCAGAAGGTACGTCGGGGTTCGATTTTGGGAGGATGTCTCAGGCGAAATCGCCATTCTCTGAGAATCGGTGTCAAAATCATTGAAATTACAATGTGCTTTTGAAGGTTGTATGTTAGAATGTTGAAATTCCAGAATGTGCTTTTGGACCCAGACGTCACGATCTGCGTGAGGGGCGCCGCCGACTTTAAGAAGTTCGAGGATGTGCCTAGCGAAACGGCCAGACAAATCGCAAACGCCGCCTTCAACCAATCGGCTCTGAGCTCTACTCTTTCGGAGAGGTGCGTATGATAATATATATATATATATATATATATATATATATATATATATACATACATATACATATACATATATATATGTGTGTGCGTGTATATATATATATATATATACAGCATTGCATTGACAATGAGGAGCATGGTTTGCGCCACAGTGGTTGCACAACATAGGTTGTTGGAAGCACACGGTGTATGGCCCAAGTTTGCTAATCTACGTCTATATATATGCATACATATATGCATGTGTGCATAATTGTTTGGGCACGCGCATTCCAGTTTACCGACATACATACATATATACTACAGACGTACGTACAGACAAACATTCACACACAGCCACATGTAAGCACACATACATGCACATGCATACGTACAAAATGTTTTACAGCCGTCGGCCGTAACGCATGGGCGCCGCCGCATATTGTGCACCTCGTATGTTGTGCTGTCCATGGCGCGCGTCGGATGTTCGAGAATCCACTGCGTGGGTCCAATGCCCGTCAGAAAGTGGAACGGAACCGCCAGCCCATCCGTAGAGTTGTTGCTGAATTCCGGGGTTTCGGAACGCCAGCTGAAAAAGTCCCAAGCAAGACCCCAAGAAGGAGGAGAAGCGGATAATACGGTGAGGCGGAGGGGGATCTAAAAAGAATGATCGGGAGCAGCTGTAGGAGCAAACGGTGCAACTGCTGGATGAGCGAAATGGAGGAGGATAATGCTGTGCAACAGGAAGAGGAGGAGGACGAGGAGAGGGAGGATGAGGAGGAGGGGGGGATGGGATGCGCGGCCGGGCACAGAAGGCGGATGGGGGAAGTGGGGAATCTACGAAGGAGGATCACGCCGAGGAGGGGCAGCATAAGGAGGATGGGAGAGCGGGGTGGAAGGGAGTGGGGGGAGGAGAATGAGGAGGAGGAGGAGGAGGAGGAGGAGGAGGAGGATTTCTAGGAGGATGGCGACGAGAAATGAGAGCAGTCCCACAAGGGGGGAGGGCGGGGGGCGAGAGGGGGAGGGAGCGGAGCGGCGGGGAAGAGAGCGAGGGAAGAGGCGAGGGAGGGAGCAGGGGCGAGGGAAGGGGGGGGGGCGCCCCCCCCCCCCACCCACCCTCGAGGCATTCCAGCTGCTGGCGCCCGCGCTGCGCGGCTGACCCCCGCGGGGAGGGCGGCCGCGCCATCGCCGCCTCAGCTTCCCTCCTACCTCTCTGCCTTCCTCTCTGCCCCGTGCTCATTCCTCATTTTCATCTCCCTCCTCCTCCTCCTCGGTTCCTCCTCCTCCTCCTCCTCTTTTCCTCCTCCTCCTCCTCTTCTCCTCCTCCTCCTCCTCCTCCTCCTCCTCCTCCTCCTCCTCCTCCTCCTCCTCCTCTTGTTTTAAACGTTAGACCGACATGAGCGTGATCGTTGTGGCGTTTGTGCACGATGTGAAAAGCAGGATACAAATATGCAGGTGGACGACTCGGCGAAAAAATGCCTGGCGGGCGCCGCAGAAAGAAACTAGGTAAAGAAGCGGGAAAACGAGTAAGAAGAAAGAGCAGGCGCCCGCCGTGCCCGCGAGGTCAGCATTGACCGTAGTGACAAGCACCCTGAGTAAATGACCACCACATACATCCCCAGGCCGAAACTTTTCCGCGTGCACTAAAAATATGAGAACACCGTTGGATCCAAATTGATCCATTTTTGGGTGTGCGACAGTGTCGTGGATCCTATCTCTGTCTTGCGCGGACCCCCCCTCGAACCACATGACTTTCGCTAGTCGTCCGACGGGCGCACCCTCCAGGTTTCACGCATTGAACGTTGAATTCGAAATCCCACGATTTAACCGATTCGCTTCATATGGATGCAGAGCGCGCGGTCTGTCCGTTCCGCCGCGGCTGTGCCAGCAGGACAGAGGGATGCGGGCCCATAGTCGTGTCTTACTTACTCCTCCTCGTCCTCCTCTTCTTCCTCCCCCTCATCCTCCTCGTTTTGTTCCTCCTCCTCTCCGTAGCCATTTTGGCTCAAGCCATTTTGGCTCAAGCCGTTCTGGCTCAGAGATTTCTGAGCTTGCCGACGCCAACTTCAGAACGGCCTGCGTCGGCGGGCCAAAAGCTTTCAGTCTTCAGCTACCGCCGCGACACCCGCAGTATGTCTGGCGATGGTTCCGTGCTCAGAGGCCCTCGTCAGCCTCTGTGGGCCTGCTCGCAGTGCACCCGCACAGCGAATTGGGCCTGCCGTATCAAGTGCATATGTGGTGCTGCTGCCCCTCATCGCGTGGTGCAGGCAGCAAAGAAGAATGCCAAGGAGTGGGAGAAGCCGTCGCCCAGCAATACCCCGAGGGGACCGAGTGGACGATGGGCGGCGGGACCACCTCCTGACCTCGTCAGACAGATCACACAAGCCCTGGACAAGAAGCTTGACCAGCGGCTCAAAGCAGCGGGGGTACGCCAGGACTCAGCAGCAACAGGTGGCGCTGCGCATGGTCAGTCTGCTTATCGCTCAGATGCTCCTGATGATATGCGTGCAAGCAGAATTGAGTCCTTGGAAAATGCCCTCAAGCAGATGGAGCAAGTCGATGAGTCTGACCCCGCGAAGAAGTGCTTGCAAGATCAGTTGCGCGAGGCTCGAGCTGCCCAGCGCAGCAGCAAACCACCTCTCCAGCAACACACCAACGCTGCCTTTCGACTCCAGTCAGCACAAAAGAAGCTTGAGAAGGCCAAGGCTGCGGTGGTGGCTCAGCACGAGCTCATCACAAAGGCCCAGGCCGCCCTTGCTGAGATGGTCGAGAGGGAGAGTGCCATGCAGCGTGAGGTCGACGCCCTCGAGATGGAGCTGCGCAGGACCATGCCCGTTGCGGCGGAGTCGGTGCCATGCCCCACCCTCTCGCAGGAAGTTCTGGATGCGAATCCTGATGTCAAGGATTTCCTGCAGAACCCTCTTTTCGCGAAGTACCAACAGCTGCTCAAGGAGTCGACCCCGCCGTCTACTCCACAGGAGGCAACGACACTTGCGGAAGCTGATGAACAGCCAGCAGGACAGGAAGAGGACGAAGATGCTACGATGTACGATGGCCTGTCCGCTGAGGAAGTGGAGGAGCTCATCAAGCTTGCGGGGGACAAGCGCCAGTTCGAGGAGCAGCTCCAAGCCATGGGGGTCAAACGCCAGAGGAAGTCTTCCTGATGTCCGCTGGCGTGACGCTCACCCTCCTCTGGCTGGAGGAGCTGTTTCATCAAGTTCTACGATTGCAGGTTCGACTAGAGCCCAGGCAACGGCAGACCCCTCGCGCCCACATGTGCTGGGCGTCCAAGGACTTAATACGGGGGAGCGTCTCAGGAGCCTGGGCGGACTATCTGCAGATATGCCTTTCTTGCGTGGCCTGCCTGTCAATGGAGATGGGCATGCGATACCGCTGCACAAAGGCTTTCGCGACGCACCCGCAGATGATAGTGTTCATTTTCCCGAGTCGTTCAATGGTAATTGCCGTGCCATACTTCTTGAACGGTTGCGTGCTTCCAACTCGTTGATTGCACGTGCGCAGGAGATTGGCACAGCGGAGGCTGCGATTCCTGATCTTCAGCGCGCAGCTCGTGCTATTGGTTATCGGATGCTGTGCAGCCCTTCCTTCGAGCGTGATCGAGGTTCGCACTCTGCTGGTGTGGCCGTCTTTGTTCGATCGGAGCTGGGACTAAGGTGGAACCCTACTGGAGGCGAGATTTGTCGTGGCAGGCTGATCTCGGTTCAGGTTGACATCCCTGGATGGCCCGAGCTCACGGCGTACTCTGCGCACCTCTTTTGTGCAGCAGGCCTGAACTCGGCCAACATGCATATACTGAAGATGTTGGGCTCGAGCGCGTCTAAGTCGTCGGGCACCATCTTAGCGGGGGCTGATTGGAATGTCGAGCCTCAGGTGCTTGAGGAGTCGGGCTTCACTCGCAAGGCGGGCCTGATCGCGGTGGTTCCTACGCGGCACACCTGCATCATGTCGAATTCGGCCTCGACGATCGATTATTTCCTTGGCTCTCATGATATGGTGCGCTTGGTTGATAAAGCTCGAGTCTTGCAGTCCTAGCATGGAGGGCCGCACAAACCCGTGCGACTGCACCTTCGGCCTGGCGTATTGGAGCTGAAGCAATTGGTTTATTGTTCGCACGTCCGGCTCCCCGTTCTGCCACCTTTCGGTCCCCGCCGCGAGCCACGGTCGTGCAGGGCGGCCCGAGAGATGGTTGAACATGCTGTACATGCTGCTGAACATGATGGTGTGTGCGCGGCATGGCAGAAGCTCAATCACGCCTGGACCGTCTTCCTGCAGGATGCGGAGATGGAGCTGGCGCAGGTGCTGGACTTCCCTCTCAAGTCGGGCACGCGTGATAGGTATTTGGCTCGACGATGGGTGCCAGTACTTGGACGCAAGTTTCGCGCTGCTGATGATGTCGCAGTTTGTCGTGGGTGGCAGTGGCTTTATCGTGTGTGGCATGAGTTTGAAGTCACGATCCAGGACGACCCTGTCCTACATAGAAATACGGCTGGGCTCGAGCTGCATCATGCGTGTCTTTCGGAGGAGTATCCAGGAGAAGGATTGGATGTCCGACTCGATGCGCAGGTGCAAGCATTTCGTGACCTTCTCCGATCGCATCCGTCTCAGCTGGATCATCCATGGTGGGACCGAGCGGCGTCATTCTCAGCCTTTCTGATCACAGAGTTTGAGCATGCCACCAGTGCAGCTGCCAAGCTGCGCACGCAGACGTGGAACCAGCGGTGCGATGAAGCCTTGAAAGGATCAGCGAAGCTAATGCACAAAATCACGCGGCTTCAGCACATCTGGAACCCCAGCATAGTTGAACGATCGCCAGGCGTTTTTTCGAGTCGGCCTGATGACCTCCTTGCCAGCGAGGCAGAGGCTTTGCAGGCGCAGTGGCATGCATCGATCTCCCCACCTGTGGCGGAAGTTCCTGATCGTGAGTGCTTCCCGAGGGCGTCGGTTGATGAGATTCGAAGTGCTTCCAGAAAGTTTTGCCAGTTCACGGCGTCGACTTTGGATGGGTTCCATCCGAAGCACATCTGTCTGCTGGGAGATGCTGGCATATTCACCCTGAGTATTCTGTACGAAGCGGTGGAAAGGCCCGGGCTCTTCCCGCGACATTTTATGTGGATGGCTTTTCCGCTGATAGATAAGCCTGCAGGAGGACATCGTGCGATCCTACTCCTCGCTAGTTTTGTTCGTGTATGGGAAAGACTACGCAGCCCCATGTTGGACCCTTTCTTTGCTGAAACGGAGAGGGACTACTGGGCTTTCGGAGCGGGGAAGAGCGTTGAAGGTTGCGTTTGGGCCCAAGTGGCCCTTTCGGAGGTGGCGAATACCAGGGATCAGGTTGTCTTGGGAGTTCAGTGGGACGGGAAGAAGTACTACGAATCTTTCCAGCTAGAACTTCTACGTGATAGAGCGTACAGATGTGGCATCCCTAAGGTTATTGTAAAGACTATGTACAACCTGTGGAGGTGCCCCAGACTGGTTCGTCTAGGCCCAGCTTTTCACACAGTGGCTCTTTTTGCCTCCAGCGGTCTTCCTGCAGGTGATGTTTTCAACGATGCATTTGTGAAGGTGTATGCGCTTGAGGCCTTCGATGCTTTCATGATGAGACACCCGACGATTCGCCTATCCTCGTACATCGACGATGACACGATACTGGGGATGGGGGACAAAGCTAGCCTACTTCGAGCAGTGCCTGCAGCAGCAGCCGATGTTCATCAAATGTTCCAGCAAGAGCTAAAAGCAGATATCTCGGAGCCGAAGGCGGTTACGATAGCTAACTCGGTCGGTCTAGCGAAATCCCTGGCCCATCAACTTCGCATCCGAGGATTGCCCGAGGGGATGGCCACGTCGGCGTCGCTCAACCTCGGGGTAGACTTCGCTCCAGGACAGCCTCGGTCGGCTAAAGGGGGGCTTCGAAAACGACGGGCTCGATTTCAACAATTCAAGCTTCGACATCAGCGAGTATTACGATTTCGAAGATGGTTGGCACATGGAAAGCATCGGATGTCTAAGATTCACACGGCAGGCTTGAAGCCAGCCTTGTCTTACGGCAGCGCGGCGCTGGGCATGAGTGATCACGAGCTCAGACGAGCTCGGGCTACGCTCCTCAGCTTCAAGGCGCCCTCGCATCGAGGAGCCTCGCTAGTGGCGAAGTGCGTGCTTCATGGCGACCCTGTTGCAGATGCCGCCGTGGCGCCTGCGGCGCAGTGGGCAGCCACGATCTGGCAGGCGGCGGTCGCGCAGAAGCGCTCTCTCTTCACTATGACGCAGCTCGCAGATATGTTTCAGCAAGTGCATGCCAATTGGGA